CCATTGTTGCCAGAACTCCAGTTTTTGTCTTCAATCATGCCTGAGTTTCGATCTTTGTCTTTGTAGACAAAAAAATTGTGTTATATTTTTATAAACACAAAATTTGTACAAATTATATTTAATTTAAATTTAATGCGAGTCCTATTCTCTATTCGGATCCTTTGATTCTCTCTCCGGGTCGATCCATTTTTCCAATTTGGATTTGGGTGGCTTCTTTGATCCGAAGGGATTTTGGTCTTCGGTTTGACTTCGTCGGTTTTTAGGAAACTTTGGTATCCGTGTTGGCGATTTTGATCCTCGGCTTTGGATTGATGCCTCCTTTGGATGATCCGACGGAATTTGATCTTTGAGGGAGAGATTTGGTGCTCCATAACGCTTTTGCGGCGTGTCCCTTTGACTTTTGGATCGAAGAGGGCCTGGTTTGCGCCTTTTATGAAGAACGCGACGAACATCTTCAAGCTTTGGGAGCGACTTTGGAGGCTCTTCCTTGGCTTTGATGGATTCCTCGATGGCTTTGAGAGATTTGATCCTTCCTCCGGCTCGGACATACGACGAAGAACGTTAACTTCATCGATTCGTCAACCAATATTGGATCATTTGTCCAAATCGGTGACTTTTCGACGAAGAACGCTTCGAAGGACACGAAGAACAATGAAGAACATTGCAAAGAGTCTAGAGAGACTTACCCTTGCGCGAGTCTTCAAATGAACTTCGGTCCCTAAATGAATTGGCCAAGGCTCCTATTTATAGGGGAGGGTGGCCTTGGCTTCCTTTTCGGATGGTGCCACGTTGATGGAAAGATTTTATAATCTTTCCTTTTCCCTCGGATGCCGTTTTCCATTTTTGACGGATTTGATTATGCACCTTCCTTTCTCGTCAAAATCTTTATATCATTGCCTTTTTTGGAAGATATTAATTTATATACTTCCTTTATTGACAAGATCTTTATATCATTGCCTTGTTTGGAAGATATTAATTTATATACTTCCTTTATTGACAAGATTAATTTATTTTGCTGCCAAATTTATTATGGCTCTATTTATGCACGTAATATTTGTACGATATCTTCCATTTTAAGCAGATTTTGCATTAATGGTTGATATTTATTGTACAAAAATTAACATATGTGCATAATTAAATACCATATATTTATTTTATTGGAATTTTATTTTCTTCCAAAATACATGATATTTAATTGATTTTAGACATATATTTTTAGTGTCTACAAAATGCCCCCTCGAGACTTGTTTAAGCCAACGCAAAATGTTTAAGGCGTGAACGAGTCTCGAAACATAGAAAAAGAATTTTTTTTTTTCTTTTTTTAATGGCCCTTTTTTTTTTTTTTGCCATTCTTATTTTTTTTTGCATTTTTTTTTGTAAATGGCGTTTTTGCCATTTTTTTATGCAATTTTTTTTTTTTTTTTTTTGCAAAATTCTTTTTTTCTTTTCTTTTTTCTTTTTTTTTTTTAATGGCGTTTTTGCCATTTTTTTTTTTGCAAAATTGACATTTTTTTTTTTTTGCAAAATTCTCTTTTTTTATTCTTTTTTTTTTTTTAAATGGCGTTTTTGCCAAAAAATTTATATATATATATATACACATATCATATATATATATATATATATTCTTTCCTTTATTCTTTGTTTTTATTTTTATCTTCCTTCCTTTTTTTTTTTATTTCCTTATCTTCTTCCTTCCCTTATACATGTCTTTCCATATCTCAATTTTTTTTAGACACTATATAAACCTCTCACCATGAGAGAACTTTATCATTCTCAACTTCTCACAATTTTGATTTCTCTCATTCTAGGGTAGGCTTATTTCTCTTGTGTTGTTTTTCTTTTTTTTTTTTTTTTTTTATCTTTTGATCTTTGCTCTTATATATATTTTTTTGTAGACGAGATGGCTTACTTCAAGGATGTCTCCTCCCCCTCTGGAAACGCCGAGTTGGTGATTTGCGAGTTTGAAGGTCAACCGCTGGACAAGGCGACTCGTCTATTGGTGCATCCACCACTCATAGGACGCGGAGCTGCTCGCCCTCGCTTGGAGGTCCCAAATTTCCCAAAGACGTGGTCTCGGAATGTCGCTGGCGGAAAGCATACCTTGCAATCCTCACTTCATCAACACGTGTCAAACGATGTTCTTCCACTTCCAACCTTGGGGCGGCGGATCATGGATGGGGCGTGCGTTTGGAATGGTCTTCCTTCTTTTGATGGCAACTTTTCGTACGTGGCCGGCTATTGGGAATGGGCGGAGGATGTGCTGGATCGATGCGAGATTCCACTAAAGAGAGGATGCATTTACGATGCGGTCTATGCTTCCTTGTTCTCCTACGACTATTCTCCGGAGATCGTCAAGGCCGTTTGCGAGGCGTGGTGTCCCAAAACCAACACCCTTTTGACTGCTGCCGGTGAAGTGTCGATCTCTCTCCGTGACTTGGCGTCCTTGGCGGGCCTCCCCATACTCGGCTCATTTTACGAAGAGGTGGTACCAAGCGCAAAGGAGCTATATGGCAGTAAAGAGGATAGGAAGCTGGTTCCCCGTTCGTGCCGATACCTGTTGCATGCCTATCACCTTCTTCGGAGTCGTGACAAAGGTCGACGTGGCGTCCGCACAACCGACTGGATTTCTTTTTGGTGCGAAAAGACTGTCAAATACGAGCGTCCTCAAATTCGTCGTGGCAAGGAGTCTACTCGTTCTTCTCGGCCTGATGCGACTTACAATCCTACCGAAGAGATTGGTGCCCACGAGCCATGGTCGAAGGCGCAGGAGTCATCTTTTGCCAAACTCAAAGTTGGACGGGAGCACCTTGAGGAGACTTTTCTCGCAGCATTCCTTTCTTGTTGGCTTTGCATCTTTGTGCTTCCGCTCGACGATGTTGGTTTGATACGTCCTTCGACTTTCAAGATGGCAAGTGTCCTAGCGTCGGGATTTCCAGTAAGCTTGGCCATTCCAGTCTTAACCAGTATTTATAGGGGGCTAAACCAGATCGCGGATTCATCATGTCCTGGGAAAGTTCGGTCGACAATTCCTCTCCACTTTTTGACCGGATGGATCGCTGAGTATTTTCAGACCCACTACGGCGTATGGAAGGGAATCCGTGGTCCGGGGATGGTGAAGCACTCCGGGGCTGTTAGTGCTCGTGCGTATAGAGCAGATGTTGCATGCCGAAAGATTTTACGCGGTGACTACTTTCGTTGGGCTTGCACCATGATCATGAAAGATTTCGACGTACGGTTTGTTGATGACGGGAAGCGCGAAGACTACGAGCAAGAATACTTCATCTCCATTCGCTCTTGTTTTCTGACTTTGCGGGATGGATTTCGATGCTTCGTGGAGCCGTATAGTCCCCACCGTTTTTGCCGTCAATTTGGTTTTTTCCAAGAGATTCCCGGAGTTCTTTTGAAAGACGTCCGTTGCTGCGCTTTTGAGGAAGGCTATCAACATTGGCACCAAAGTACTTACTTGAAATCTTCAGCCGAAGTTATTCTTCCACGCATTCCTGCGATTCCGAGGGGATTTTCTTCCGACGTATACAAGAAGTGGTGGACTCAAGTTTGCGGGTCTTTCTTGGATAAGTATATCCCGCCGGTACAAAAGACCACCGATCAGACCAAGCCATCGGATAAAGCTCGAAAAATGCCGCTACTTATCTCGGGTATTCCTGAGAGGAACAATGGAAATTCAAGTACTCACAATGTCGGTTCTTCAAAGCGGACGGTACCCTCGGTCTCTGAACGAAGCAGTAGTGAGCATGATGTTCATTGGAAGCGAGCTCGTCGAGATCCTCATATCATCAACCCGTCAAGTCCTCGTTCGAGCCGACACCATTCTTCGAGCAATTTCGCGAGAGAGGTAACTTCTATCTCTCTTTTTTTTCTCTTTTTTTTTTTTTTTTTTTTTGACATGATCCGTTTTTTTTTTTTTTTTTATCCCCTTTTTCAGTTGGAGCAAAGAATCCCGAGTATGGATGAAAAGATGGCGAGCCGAGATTCTATTGTTGAGGTGATTGGAGAAAGCAGAGGTGTTTGCAATAAGCAAGTAAAGGATGCTCCAACCAAGCCAATAGTTGTTCATTCCGTTGTGCCCGCGGTTTCAGAATTCTGTGGCGCGAATTTTGTGAAAGAGATCCAACGCGAATATATAGGAAAAGTATGGTCGGATCTTCGGGGTAAGCTTTTGAGGACACCAGCTCGTTTGCTTTCCTCGATTAAGGACGAGGTTGATGTAGTGCTCCAATCAATGAAAAGCTTTCAGTATTCTGACATTTCTCATATTGAGGACCGAGTCAAGGCCCTTTTTGATGACGCTGCATCTTTTGATGAGGCATGTTCTGACTCGATCGACGCTGTATCCTTAGCGGCTCGTAACCAACAGATTTCCGAGATCAAAGATCGACTGTCGCACCTTGAGACGAGGCATGTTGAGGAGTGCGAAGCTATTAAGGAGTTAGAGGGGTGTGTGGAGAATATTGACGTGAAGCTTCGCTCTTTACAAGAGCAAAAAAGAGAGAATATTTCCCTTATTAAGCGACGTCAAGGAGTTAATGAGAATATCACCATTCAAATTGCTGAAGTCAAGGATGAACTCGCCGCTGTAGAGAATGTCCCCGCGCAAGACGAAGAATACTTAAAAAGCTTAGAAGAGTTGTTGGATATTAGCAAAGAAGAGTTGTATAATCTTAATGTTTAAGATCAATTTGTACTCTTCATTTTGATTGCCAATCAATAAATTTAAATTCTCTCTTCTTTTTTTTTTTTTTATATATATATTTTTTTTTGAGCTTTTTTTTTTTTTTTTTTTTTTTTTTTACCCAAATCCTTTATCACTTATTTATTTATTTCTTTATTTATTTGACTGAACTTGAAGGTATATCTCAAGCTGCCTACGTACCCGGTAAAGGGATCAAGTCATAACGTAGTTCAAAGCAACTTGAATTTGCTTTTATTGTTATTTTGCAGTTTATCCTCATGCTAAGGAGTCTTGATTTGATTTGAAGGTCTCACGCATAATATCTTTTGAGGAACCTCCCGTTGATTGGCCCTATCCGGAGTCCGTCTTGAGATGTCAACTTGTATGCACCATTTGTGTAAACCTGAGTGACGACGTAGGGTCCATCCCACTTGGATAAAAATTTATTTCCCGAACGAAAGTTGATCACAATGGGCCTTCTCACAGCAAGAACCAAGTCCCCGATTTGAAAGGATCGTGATTTGACTTTTTTATTGTAAGCTCGAGACAATCGTGCTTGATAACACTCCAGTCTTTGTTGAGCTTGTAGTCTTTTCTCGTCGAGAGCCTCTAGCTCTTCGAGTCTTAATCTGACATTTTCTTCGGTCGTCAATTCTTCCTGGAGAGCGATCCTTAGTGAAGGAATTTGTCTTTCCAATGGGAGGACAGCTTCGACCCCATATACAAGTGAGTATGGTGTCGCTTGTGTTGGAGTGCGGAATGTAGTACGATAGGCCCACAAAGCTTCACCAATGCGGTCATGCCAATCTCTTTTTGATTTGGAGACAACCTTTTTCAGCAAGTTACAAAGTGTTTTATTGAATGCCTCTGCGAGTCCATTTGCCGGTGCATAATACATTGAGGACTTCTTTTGTTGAAAGCCAAACTTTTCACAAAGCTTGTCGATGTGAGTATTGGCAAAAGATCTTCCATTATCAGTGATGATACACCGAGGAACTCCATAACGGTAAATGATGTTGACTCGTATGAAGTCAGCTACCGTCTCCTTTTTGACTTCTTTCAAAGGAACTGCTTCTGCCCATTTGGAGAAGTAGTCTGTTGCGGCCAAGATATAGAGATGTCCAGCGGACGACTTTGTGAGTGGTCCTACAACGTCCATGCCCCAGGTATCGAATGGCCACGAAGCAATAGTTGGGTGCAATGGTTCCGGTGGTTGATTGATAAAGTTAGCATGGAATTGACACGGTTGGCAGCTCCGTGCGAATTCTATACAGTCTTTAACCATGGTTGGCCAATAATACCCCATCCTCTTTATTCGGAAGTGTAACTTTGGGCCAGCTTGATGAGCTCCACAGATTCCGGCATGAGTTTCCTCCATAGCTTGTTTGGCTTGATGATTGCCGAGGCATCGAAGGAACATGTTCTCGAACGACCGACGATAGAGTATGCCGTTGAAGTAGGCGTAGCGTGCAGCTCTTCTTCGGATATCTGCTCGTCTGCGCGGGTCACTCGGGAGCTTGTCATATTTTAAGAAATCTAATATTGGTTGCCGCCAATCTTCTTCTTCTTCTTCAATTTCAAACACCTCGATGAGGTGATTTACTTCTTTTTCAACACATTCTTCTTCTTCATACTTGCAGGAATCCACCCAAACTTTGCGTATCGGAATATACACCTGTTGATCCGGGATGGATAGAGTCGATGCCAATTTAGCCAGAGCGTCAGCTTGCCCATTCTCTTTCCTTGGGACATATTCAATAGAGACATCCCCGAGTAACTCAATGAGTGCCTTAGCATACTTTAAGTAAGGCATTAGTTCTGGTTTCTTCACTTCAAACTCTCCAGTGATTTGATTTACAACCAGCTTGGAATCCCCGTATACTTGAAGTTGGCGTTGCTTGATATCTACCGCCATTTTTAGGCCGAGGATGAGTGCTTGATACTCAGCCACATTATTTGAACACTTTTCTTTTAAGGCAAAAGAGTATGGAAGGACTTCTCCTTGTGATGTGACAAATATTACTCCGGCTCCAGCTCCATTTTTGTGTGATGAGCCGTCAAAATACATTTTCCATGGTGGGGTGATTTCGAGAAAAAGCGCGTCTTCATCAGGGAAGTCGTCAGACAACTCCCACTCAGCGGGGATGGGATGATCAGCAAGGAAGTCAGCCAATATTTGTCCTTTTACAGCTTTCTGTGGTACATATATGATTTCGAATTGTTGCAGCTGCAGGTACCACCTCGCGAGTCGATCAGAAAGGACAGGCTTTGACATGACATATTTCAAGGGATTTGCTTTGGACACCAACCGGATAGTGTGCGCTTGGAAGTAATGCTTCAACTTTTTTATGGCGAAGATGAGCGCCAAGCATATCTTTTCCACCGGTGAATAGTTTAGTTCATTTGGTGTCATCATTCTGCTGAGGTAGTAAAGGGCATTTTCTTTCCCTTTATTGGCTTCCTGTGCTAACAAGGCTCCAACTGAACGCTCTTGTGCAGCGATGTAAAGCGTCAACGGATGTCCAGGAATTGGGGCTGTCAGCACTGGTGGCTTTGTCAAGTAGTCTTTGATACTTTGGAATGCCTTCTTGCATGCTTCATCCCAATGGAAAGGCACTCCCTTCTTCATGATTCGGCTGAAAGGTTGACATCGTCCAGCGAGGTTAGAGATAAATCTTCTTATATATGCTAATTTTCCTTGTAAGCTTTTTAGCTCGTGGATGTTACGAGGCTCAGGCATTTTTGTGATGGCATCTATCTTTGCCTGTTCAATCTCAATTCCACGACTATGGACAATGAATCCGAGGAATTTTCCGGAGGTGACTCCAAAAGCGCACTTGAGAGGATTCATTTTTAATTGGTAGCGCCTCAACCTTTCAAAAATCTTTCTTAAGTCTTGCAGGTGATCTTCTTTTCTCTTGGATTTGACAACCAAGTCGTCAACATAGCACTCTACATTTTTGTGTAGCATGTCATCAAAGATCTTTTGCATTGCTCTTTGGTAGGTTGCCCCAGCATTTTTCAATCCGAAAGGCATAACTTTGTAACAGTAGATACCTTTCGGTGTACGAAAGGCGGTTAACTCTTCGTCTTCAGGTGCCATACGAATTTGGTTATATCCAGATGATCCATCCATAAAAGAAAGCGCTTCATGTCCTGTCGTTGCATCAATCATCAATTCAGTTATGGGTAAAGGAAAATCATCTTTTGGGCATGCTTCGTTTAAATCTCGGAAATCCACACAAACTCGGATTTGTCCATTCTTTTTCTTTACAGGCACGATGTTGGAAATCCATTGGGGGTATTTGACTTCCCGGATGAACCCCACTTCAATGAGTTTGTTGACTTCATTTTCAATTTGAGGGATGAGTTCAGGACGGAATCTTCGTTGCGCTTGCTTCACAGAGCGAGCTCCTTTCTTCACACCTAGATGGTGGACCGCAACTTTCGGGTCTAAGCCGGGCATTTCTTTATATGACCAAGCGAAGACATCTTGGAATTCGTTGAGAAGTCGGATGTAGGCATTCATATCATCCTCACCCAGCTCTTTGTTGACATAGACAGGTCTTGGGTGATCTTCATTTCCCAAGTTGACTTCTTCTAACTCGTCCACTGCAGCTTTGATCCCTTCTTCAAGCGCGGCGGGTGCATTTCCTGCATCTTCTTCAATCATTGTTTCTTCTCCCCCTTCAGTGATGTAGCAGGATGATGCAACACTTTCTTCATTATCTTCTTTGGGTTTGGTGAAGACAACGGTTTGCCATTTAGCCTTTAAAACTTTACCGCAATGTATCGTCATTTTTGTTTGACGCGTCATGCGGGATGGAAAGCGGCTCTTGATTTCTTCATCCATCTCCACATATTTTGTTGATGTGGAATTCGTCTTGTTTTTCTCTTTATTGATCTTTGGTCCTAACCTTGTGAAGACAGAAGGTTTTAGCCTCTCGAAAACCGATACTCTTGCATTCTTCCCCTTTTGAGGTGAATTGGAAGACAAAGTCTCGCTTTCGGTGATATGATGATTTGCAGCCCTTTTGATAGCGATGCGTACGGGAGCTTGTGGCATGTACCCAAGACCAGCCCTCGAACCTTGGGTTGTCTGTGGTGGTAACTTCCCAGCAGTGATTCCTCATTTGGATTATATCCAGCTTTTGTGAGAAGTTTGTAGGCTTTTGGGCCAAAGCTTTTGTCCTTTTGCAATCGCATAGCCTCTATTTTTTCTTCTTTTCCATTCCTTGTCTGTGATGGGGAGATTGGGTTGAGTGGGGTTCGGAAGAGTCAAATCTTTCAGAGGCTCAATTAATGAGTCTGCAGAACCTGAGGCAGGTGTTTTTTTCTTTATCTCTTAACTTTGCCCCCAAGTTTGGTTGTGGTGCTTTGACATCTTCATGTACCTTGGATTTTTTTGCTTCTGTAGAGAAATATTTGGCGTCCGCAAAGTGTGACTCGGCTTCTGCATATGGCTTTGTGTCTCCAAGAACTTTCTTTGTCACTCCATTTTGAGTGTATTTGAAGCATTGGTGCCACGTTGATGGAACTACACCATTCTCATGTATCCATGGTCTTCCCAAAAGAACGTTGAAAGATGTCTTTGCGTCTATCACGTAGAACAAAGGGTTAGTTTCCATTTCATCGATTAAGAGTCTCAATCTTATGGTGCCAAGTGCTCTTTGCCCCTCTTGATTGTATCCATGTATTGTCATACGACTCTCGAACAACTGATCTACTGGTATTCCCAATTTTTGCAATGTGTATAGAGGAAGGACATTGACTGCAGCTCCTCCGTCTAAGAATATCCGGTTAATCCTTTGTTCATGGATATAACCCACGACCAGTAATGGACGATTATGGGGTTTGGATCCTAACACCAAATCTTCATCAGTGAAAGTTATCGTGGCACATTCTTCACTCGATTTGTCTCTGATCGCCTTGCCACCTTTCTCGGTAGTGAGACAATATGATTCTTTGTCTTTTATGTCAACTTCGAGAGACCCGAACATGATTGAAGTGACATTAACAGAAACAGAATCGTCTTCAAGGGTGATCTTTCCTTCATGAGCCAACTCCATGACTTTGTCTTTAAAGATGAAACAGTTATGGATGGGATGTCCTACGACACGATGGTATTTGCAATATCTTGGGTCATCAACCTTTCCAGCTTCCTCCGGTCTTTTTGAATTCGGAAGTTCAATGAGGTTTTCTCTGAGTAGATCGTCAAAGATTCCCGAGACGTCAGAATCCAGGAAAGGATAAGTTTTGGATTGCAACTCTTTAAGGGTTGGCCTTGGCGGTCTTTCTGTCTGAGTTGATTGTCTTTTCCTTGCAACTTCCTTTTCTTTACTTTGGATCTTCATAGGTGCTTTGGTCGTCGCTTTTATGGCCAAGGCTTCTTTTCCAAAAGACTTGATAGGGGCGTTGTTCCCCTTCTTTGCGGCATCATATCTTTCGTATCTTTTTGCTTTTGAAGATTCTTGAACTGGTGGTCCGTGCATCCCGCTTGAAGCCATACTTAACTCCATGTCATGAGCGCGGGTAGCAAGTTCTTCGAAAGTGTGGGGTCGGATCCCTTGCAGGATGTATTTCAACCCCCAGTGCATTCCTTGGACGCACATCTCTATACCGGAGGCCTCAGACAACCGGTCTTTGCAGTTCAAGCTCAAACTCCTCCAGCGGTTGATGTAGTCGATTGCTGGTTCATCTTTCCATTGACGAGTATTGGTGAGTTCTGTCATACTGACGGTCCTTTTTGTGCTGTGTAGAACCGGTTCAAGAACTCGTACTCCAACTGCTCCCAACTGTCGATGGAACCAGCCTCCAGGTCGATATACCAGTCGAAGGCGTTGCCTTTTAATGACCGTACGAACTGCTTTACCAAGAGATCGCCGTATGTCCCAGCGTTGTTGCATGTTTCCATGAAGTGTGCCACATGCTGCTTTGGGTTGCCTTTGCCATCAAATTGTTGGAACTTTGGTGGTTGATATCCCAACGGCATCTTGAGGGCGTCGATCCTTGAAGTGTAAGGCTTGGCATACATATTTGTTGGCCTTGAACTTCCTTCAAACTCCCTTTTGAGAGCTCCTTTGATATACTCGTCAAGTTGGGATAGATGGATGAAAGAGTCAGATGATGCTTGAAACGGCATTGGTCCCGCCATTTTTTCTTTACCGTGGCGTTGATCCATGGATGTTTCTGCTTCATTTTGGGCCTCCGAAGCATTCTGGTTGGTTGGTTCCGGCTTGTCCAATTTTGCAAGCAGTTTTGCGATGACATTGTCTTGTTGCTGCATGTGTTGAGACATCCCTTCAACAACTTTGGCCAGTGCAACAAGTTGGTCTTCTATGTTTGAAGCGTTCGTGGTCATCACCGGGGCATAACTCGATGCAGTCGAACGAGTTGCAACTTCTTGAGGGGTGCCCGGTGCGGAGGTACTCTTGAAGCTTTCGTCCTCCTCATAGAGTGAGTTTTGCTCTGTGATTTTCGGATGTGCATCCTCGGAAAATGACAGTACTCTTTTAGCCATACTTCGTGTCATCACTCCAGCATTCATTGAAGCACTTGAGGTTCTTGATGTAGTAGCAGCGACTCCTTTGGCGGTGGCGGCTAGAGCAGCAGCTTTCGACACAGCATTGGAAGTCTTGATTTTGTAGGAAGCCATTGATCGTTTGAGAATTCGACGGAAAGAGAGATGAAAGGTAGAGTTGTCCCACTGGGCGTGCCAAAAATCTGTAGACAAAAAAATTGTGTTATATTTTTATAAACACAAAATTTGTACAAATTATATTTAATTTAAATTAATGCGGGTCCTATTCTCTATTCGGATCCTTTGATTCTCTCTCCGGGTCGATCCATTTTTCCAATTTGGATTTGGGTGGCTTCTTTGATCCGAAGGGATTTTGGTCTTCGGTTTGACTTCGCCGGCTTTTTAGGACTTTGGTATCCGTGTTGGCGATTTTGATCGTCGGCTTTGGATTGATGCCTCCTTTGGATGATCCGACGGATTTGATCTTTGGGAGAGATTTGGTGCTCCATAACGCTTTTGGCGGCGTGTCCCTTTGACTTTTGGATCGAAGAGGGCCTGGTTTGCGCCTTTTATGAAGAACGCGACGAACATCTTCAAGCTTTGGGAGCGACTTTGGAGGCTCTTCCTTGGCTTTGATGGATTCCTCGATAGCTTTGAGAGATTTGATCCTTCCTCCGGCTCGGACATACGACGAAGAACGTTAACTTCATCGATTCGTCAACCAATATTGGATCATTTGTCCAAATCGGTGACTTTTCGACGAAGAACGCTTCGAAGGACACGAAGAACAATGAAGAACATTGCAGAGAGTCTAGAGAGACTTACCCTTGCGCGAGTCTTCAAATGAACTTCGGGTCTAAATGAATTGGCCAAGGCTCCTATTTATAGGGGAGGGTGGCCTTGGCTTCCTTTTCGGATGGTGCCACGTGGATGGAAAGATTTTATAATCTTTCCTTTTCCCTCGGATGCCGTTTTCCATTTTTGACGGATTTGATTATGCACCTTCCTTTCTCGTCAAAATCTTTATATCATTGCTTTTTTGGAAGATATTAATTTATATACTTCCTTTATTGACAAGATCTTTATATCATTGCCTTGTTTGGAAGATATTAATTTATATACTTCCTTTATTGACAAGATTAATTTATTTTGCTGCCAAATTTATTATGGCTCTATTTATGCACGTAATATTTGTACGATATCTTCCATTTTAAGCAGATTTTGCATTAATGGTTGATATTTATTGTACAAAAATTAACATATGTGCATAATTAAATACCATATATTTATTTTATTGGAATTTTATTTTCTTCCAAAATACATGATATTTAATTGATTTTAGACATATATTTTTAGTGTCTACAGTCTTCAATTGAATGTTGGTGTGGTTAGTATTTGGAAAAGAGTGATATTCCGCCGTGACCATTCACAATAACATTGTGATCAACGCAGAAAAAAAAAAAAATACTAAAAGAACATCGCAATCTAGAATTCAACCTTTGCCTTACCCGTTTCACTCTTGCTCGATGAGATTTGGATTCAAAATCGATCACAAAATTGGCTTTCCGTTACTCTTTCGTGCAAAAAAAACCTATTGCACAGTGACTATGATTGCAATTAGATATGATGAAAAAGGGCAAAATTGAAAAGTCAAGATGGATGGGATTGTATTCAAACTTTAAAATGGAAGGATGTATTTAATTCTAATTTCCAAATAAATAAGTACTTGTATAAACTTATTTTATTAACATTTTTCCCAATAAAAAAAAGTAATTTTTTTTTTTTTTAAAAATTGAATATCCAAACTATTCATTGAAAAAAGATTAAAAAAAATTACCAAAATATTGATATTTTTTGCCGGTGGACAATAGTAGTAGTCGTATGGAAAAAGAATTTTAATTGGGTAATCTATTCGTTCCAACATAGAACATTAACAATTCGTTACATATTGCCGTGCGAACACCATTGATGATACAAATTACACGTCATAACACCGGATACGGAAGGGTACAACGTTGTAAAAGAAAACGACTTAAAATTACTCCATAACGGCTGGGTAGGGGCCAACGACCGGAGCAGACACCGCTCCTCACTTCGAATCATCATCGAATCGCATTGCTGCTGTCGATTCACAATTCCCCCTTCACTTTCGGACTCTCCGTTGTTGGGGCATCTCGCTCCTGTCGAATGAAAATCTGCACTCGGTAGTGAAAATAGAGGGGAGAAGGTGGAGTAGGTGTGCATACCCCTCACCAAATACATTTACACTAATATATATATATAAGAAAATTACAACTGTATAGGCTTATTCCTCTAGTGTGTCAGACCTTGTCACTGTAGGGAGTCTCACGTCCAAACTCAGACCTACAGTGTACCAACAGTAAAATCTTCAAAACTGTGGCTGAAAAAACATATCCTCAAATTTGGTGTAATATTCTAATCATAGAGAGAGATAGATAGATGGATAGAGTACACGTAGCTCACATTTGGGCTTTTTAAAAAAAATGGCCTAAGTCAAATCGGATTTTAAAATTCTAGCCCTCAAACGAGTTTTGAAAACTACTATATTTATATTATGTAGTAGTTTTCAAAACTCCTAAATATATAATTTCAGAAGTTTTTGAAACTTCTAAATTATCAAATATAGTAGTTTTGAAAACTACTACAAATACTTTTATTAAAAAATAAGAATAAATATCATTTAAGCCCTAAACCTATTCTCCCTTCGTTCTCTTCTTCTGCGCGACGACACTGTGGGTTTTCTGCAATTTCTTTTGTCAATCTCTACCATTGTCGTTGGTGTTGCTCTTATATGGTAATTGATTTTCAAAATTTTGTTCTCTTTCGTTCTATTTTGTTTTGATTATTGGTTTGGAAAATATTGGTTGACGGATATTGTAATTTTTGTGTTTTGTTTGTTTTCATATAAATTTGTCTGAGTATCGCTTTTTTTTTTTTAAATCAGCACCTCCTATTGTATCTCTGATTTCTTATCGGATTGTTGAAAAAGTTTGAAAGTTGTTTCAATCCAGATTCATAAGGTATTATCTTATTATTTTTATTTATCTTTTACTTTTTACTATTTCTTATTGTATAATCATATAATTTTCAGAATTTTTATTTATCATATTTAAAAATTTTATGATATATATATTTTTTCTAATTTTTGTAATATTGCATATTCTATTGCCATATTTATGTTTATAAATGAATTTTTTTCATGATTTATAATTAATTTTTTGTAATTACTTTTTTATGATTTACAGATACTCAAGAGTGGTCATCTATTGGCATTTACTGGGCAGATATACAAAGGTTAGTGCATCAGTTGGTACAGGAATACTTAAGCCTTTGATTTCATTAGTTCTTGGTATGAATAGGATGTGTGTGAGAAACTTCTGTAGTTGATTGCTTATGAATGAGCATTATACAAGTGGGGGAAAACAGATTTCGAGTGTTATATTTGAATGTAGTTTGGAAGTGTTGTGTTTGAATGTAGTTTTGAAGTGCTTTGATTGAGTTAATATAAGTTGTAGGAATTTATATTTGTGTTCAAGGGCTTTATTTGTTTTAACACAATAGGCTATGAATTTCAATATAAGCATTATTTATATTTATATATATACTAAATTTAAACCACATATTTTTAACATATATGTTTAATTTGGAAGGTCGACAGTGTTTTGTGATGTTTTCATATCGGGAGGGATTGCCTGGCCCCAGTAACGATTGTCTACTGCATCTTCAATCTACACACCGTTCTGAGCATATTTGGAATGGTGAATTAACTGATCATAAGTTTAGTCTTGTTTGTCCGGAAAGATATTGGACTAGTATATCTACATTATGACATCCTAGGGTCCTCGAGATATTAAATCGTATTGGATTTTATGGAGTATATAGAGTTGGACATGTTAGACATGATCCTGGTCTTTTGACAGCATTAGTTGAGCGATGGCGTCCTGAAACACACACATTTCATTTCACATTTGGCGAGGCAACAATTACATTAGAAGATGTTGCTATGATATATCAGTTACCCCTCGATGGTAAACCTGTTGTCAGTGATGCCACATCTCGACAAACCATAGAGCACTCTTCAAAGATTTGTATGGATTTGTTACAATTGTCTCTTGACCCAGAATATTTCAAGCATGGACCATGGATTTTGCACTCTACTTTAGAAGATCATTTGAAGAGTGCTGAGTTTCAAATCGATGATGATAGTCCCGAAGAAAAAGTAGAGTGTTGGGCACGTGGATTTATGCTATTGATGATTATGGGTAGTATACTTCCGAATTCAGATGGTAGTAGGGTCCGGTTGATTTACTTGTCATATCTGCAGAAACTTGACCTTTCTGATAAGTATAGTTGGGGAAGTGCTTGCCTTGCATGTCTATATCATAATCTCTGTTTAGCAGTTATTGGAGTAAAAAGAAAAAATCTTAGTGGCCCCCTCACATTGTTGCAGGTATATTTATATAAATTGACATCTTAAATTTATTTAAGAACACTATTTTTGTTGTTTAAGTATTTTATTTTATTTTCTAGATTTGGGCATGGTCTCGATTACATATGTTGGCTCCTCGAATTAAATCAATAAACTCTATTGTTCTCGATCCTCAAATGCTTGCTAATGGTGTAATGCTTCCTGCTGCGCCTTACGGAGCTAGGTATTGTGATTTATACAAGTAGTTCTTAACAAAAATATTTTGTATTTTTAATTCTCAAACTGTATTTTGTTATTGTAGGTGGGCTCGGGGTAAACATGATTTTACTCCAACTGTTCATGGTTGTGTGGATGCTATACGTGACATTCTTGATCATGAAGGAAATGGACAGGTATTTTAATAACTTATTATTAATTATATAACTTTTATGTTATAATTTTTTAATATAAATATATTATATTTTTGGTGCAGTTTAATTGGCGTCCTTACGAGCCCAATTTATACGATAGTTTACCACGTTCTTGTCCTTCAACTTTATTCCGTTACCAAGGACCTTTGTTATATGAGCGATGTATTGAACATCATTTCATAGATAGAGTGCTTCGGCAACTGGGCTTAGTTCAGCATATTCCAGATAACCCATCAGTGGTGGAGAATAGGAATACTCATAGTTCTTAGATGTTTTGAAAAGATATATAATTTTAGATCCAAAGAGTTTTGAAAACTACTACATTATATAAATATAGTAGTTTTCACAACTCGTTTGAGGGCTAGAATTTTAAAAACCAGTTTGACTTAGGCCATTTTTTTAAAAAACCCCTCACATTTGTAGTTAGTTAGTTCCATTCATCTCTCTCTCTCTCTCTCTCTCTCTCTCTCTCTCTCTCTCTCTCTCTCTCTCTCTCTCTCTAATCAGCCCTTGATGGAGATTGTGCTGTGCATAACCATCCATGCATAAAACTGGACGGGATCCATACAGGAGAATAGAATGTCATCAGAATCTCCTCAACATACACCATGGATTGGAATGGATGGATCGAGTTTGCCCACACTCCTTGCTTTAATTTCCCAATAACAAACAACTTCACCTCCCTTCATATGTAATGTATGTTCAGATATGACCACCCACCCCACCACCCTTGCCTGCCACTTCCATAACACCACACGCTCAAAACTACCCTCCCCAAGGGTAGGCAAAAATCAATCTTCAACTTAACAAATTAATCAAAGATGGATGGATGGATGGATCGATCACGATCACGATCACTTCCCCATTAAATTTAAAAATCCTTATCTAGCTTGTTGAAAATGAAAATGAAATGCAGCACTAACTGATTTTAAGCATCAGGTGGAGGCGAGGCTGCAGGGATCCAGTGCTGGCCTTGAATGAAATTTTGAACCGAGTATGCATAAACATGCTCACCACCTATCTGGCTACTCCACCCCACTCTTTTCGACACATCAGACCCAGCCCCTCTGTTTTCAAATTCACCATAATACAGGGACTTCAATGCAAAGTCACCACTCCACGGCGTCCATCCATCCGGATGGATAAGAGCTTCCATAGTGCAGCGAATGAAAACAGTCCTCGAGTAATCCCTCCACGGCCTGCCCAAATAATTCTTATGCACTGCAGGATTGCTGTGATACAAGTCCATGTACGCATTCGTACCATTTATCACACAATTTTGGAAGACAAAACCAGTCGATTGACTCGGATCCATTCTGCCCTGGGCTGTCACTGCATTGCTCTCCCCCTCCCCTTCCCCCTTTCCCTTTCCGGATGTCAACTCCCGGGGCCCGATCAGGATCAGGCAGTCTTGAAAGAAAGCAGCCGAGTTTCCAAATATGAAGTCGATGTTGCCCTGGATTCGGCATGACTTGTAGTACTGGCGTAAGGAGTGTGCGTATAGAGTGTCTTGATTGCCCAAAAATTCACAGTTTTCGACCACAGAGAGATCACTGTCGGATACAAAAGCTACTGCTTGGTGAGCATCCGAACCTGCTGTGTTCTGGATCGTCAGACCACTTGCCATAAATCCATCTCCAAAAACACCTTTAACCAACCAGGAACCAAAATGTTAGAGATCACACTAAATTAAATTAAAACCATCGAGAATGAGTTCTTGCAACATTCGTCATTCATAGCTAGTTTCTTACCCAGAGTGGCAGAGTTGTAGGTGGACATGCCCATCTGGCCGACATTCAAGGACCCTGTAATTACTGTTTTGCCCATTCCATCCCCTAAGAAAACCACCTTCTTCTTCTCCAACGGGACCCGGACAGTTTCCTCGTACACTCCTGCTTTTATCCATATCACGAAACGGCTACCCAAACCCGCCGCTTCATTGGGGGCGGCGTTCACGGCTTCCTGCACGGTACCGAAATTACACGCGCCTCCCTTGCACACCGTGACGTCAGGTTTAAGTCCCCGTGGGACGCCGCCGACGTATGCAGAGGATTCCGATCCGGGCTCCCAGAAGCCGTCACGCTCGGTCTTCGGTGGGTGCCACGACTCCGTCTTGTCGCCGAAGAGATCGTAATTGACCATCATTGCGAGGGCGGTGGTGGTGGATGGGATTAGAGAGGAGTAGAAAAACGACAGCGTTTTGTCGACCAGGGGTGTGTCGTTCAGGTTCTTGAACCCCGACCAGCAGCCGTGATGGTAGCCCAACGCGGCACTCATCCAGGCCCGGGCATCTTTCAGCTTGCCACGTGGCAAAGCCTCGGCCGCCGAATTCATCCGGTACTCCGAGTAACGCAGCACCTGGAGGCAAGCCTTGGCGCCCATCGAACGGTTCTGATTCGTCGCGGATGCTTCGTTCAGAATTTGCTGAACCATGGTGCGGCCGTTGATAAGATTGGTCGAGGAAAGCGACAGTGCGGATTGGATGACCTGCAGCGGGGAGGGGGACGGCGGCATGTGACTAGACTGGGACAGAGAGGCCCGGCACGCGGTAGGGTCACGTGACGCCTTGCAGGTCTCATTGATGATACTGTTATTGTTATTATAATCAGAAGGCGATACGCTGTCGGAATGATGGCGGGGGGAGGTGGCGGAGATGGTGAAGAAGAGGAGGAGAGATACAAGGAGGAAGGAGAGGAATGCTGCCATTGCTATGAAAATGAAATGCGACGACGGTTGGGTTGAGGGGGTTTTGTACATTATCTGAACTGCATACAAAGAAACAAACAAACAAGCCAATCTTGGAGGTTAGCGATTTGGAAGGAGATGGAGTCACGGGATGAATTCAATTTGTAAGCAGGACAGGCATGAAATGGGATAAGAATAAGGGAAGGTGAGAATAGAACTAGGAGGGCGATCTGACGTGATATTAGTGAGATGGAGGGAGAAGTTAAGAGTGGGCGATTTACGCGTGGGGACCTTCCCTTCCCTTCCCGTCGGCGAGCCTAATTTGGTGAAAGCTCGTGCGTGGTGGGTGATGGATTTACTCAACTCAACTCTATTCAATTATTTCTGTGGAATTTGCGGCCAAAGGCCCACATATTTTACGGGCTGAGCTGGGCTGGGCCGACTTCAATTTTGGTTCAAAAATTTGATAGAATGCAATTAGGGGTCTATTTAATTAGGATTTAAATGATTTGGACTTTAAAAAGTCAGGTAAATTTTAATGAATTTATATAAATTTATAAATTTTATAGAATTTTTGTTTATTAGTTTATATGGATTTCAAAAGATATGATTAGATTATTTATTGATTTATCTGAATTTCATTATAATTTATAATTTATGGATAAAATATTTTTTTTGATTGATATATTCATATAATTTCATATATATGGAGTATACTTGTGTGTATATATATATAATTCAAATATTTAACAAAAAATATAAAAAATATATTCCTTTTCAAAAAATATATTTATTATTATTATTATTATTATTATTATTATTATTATTATTATTATTATTCTCATTTCTTATTTTTAATAAAGCTAAATTGCACAAAATCCACCGTGGTTTTATGAAATTGCACCAAATTCCCTCTACTTTTAAAACTGCGTCAAACTCCCTCGTGATTTCATAAACTTTGCGTCTAACCCTCTCAGTGGTCCTTATTTAACGATATTTGACCTAAATGCGCTCAAATTGCGAATAAATTTTAGAATCTCAATTTATAAACCCCTAAAATTACAAATATATTTTTTTTATTTTTTTATATTTACCCTAAAAAAATAGTAAATATACTAAAAAAATAGTTATTTTTTCAACTTTTAAGAGTATATTTTTATTATTATTTTAGGCTAAATATATACAAAATAAATATATTTGTAATTTTAGGGGTTTAGAAATTGAGATTCTAAAATTTATTCGCAATTTGAGCGCATTTAGGTCAAATACCGTTAAATAAGGACCGCTGAGGAGGTTAGACGCGAAGTTTATGAAACCACGAGGGAGTTTAACGCAGTTTTAAAAGTATGGAGAATTTGGTGCAATTTCATGAAACCATATGTAAATTTTGTGCAATTTAGTCTTTTTAATAATAATAATAATTTTATATTTATACATTTTTGTTATATTATTATTTTGATCGAATTTATTATATTATTATTCAACGTAAGTAATTCTTATCTTGTAATAACTATCTAATTGTTATTATTATTATTATTATTATTATTATTATTATTATTTATATAGCTTTTTACACAAAATATATGTATATTTATAAGTAAAATAAAATTATAATTTTTTAATTGAAATTAAAAAATAAAAGAATTAAAAAAGAATAAATATAAACTAACTGTGTAAACTAGAATCGGTAGTTTTTAAACTGAAATCGACGGAATTAAAATCGAAATAAGAAAATAAAAATTAAAATCGTAAAAGATTTTAATTTTGATTTAATATTTCAAAAAATCAAAACTCTTAATTATAAATTTGAACCATTTGATCAAGACTATTTTGTTATTTTAAATATATTTAATTTTTAGTATTATTTCAAATATATAAAATTTTAAAATATTTTGTAATTTTTTTATTTACATCTATATTTTTTTATTTTTATGATATTATTATAATAAAATATTAAATATATATAAAAAAATAAATAGTTATTAATGATATAAAAAAAATGATACGTATTTTTTTTTTAAAATTTTGAAAATCCATTGAAATCTCAAACTCATAACCAACCAGAGATTCTATACAGTGTAAATTGTTAATAATTTTAATAAAGAATTCAACAAAATCTATGGACTTTAAAAATCCATGATTGTTGAATATACCAAAATTTTTAAGGACTTTCTAAAATCTGAATTGAATACACTCAAATTTAAAAAAAATAAAAGTAAAAGTGTAGATTAAATAAACCTAAATTTTAAAAAACTTTTTAAAATTCGGATTAAATACACCCAACTAAACCTAAATTATCCTTCTATAATCAATGGTTAATATTAATTCAGCACATGCTGAATTAATTTAACAAATCATCATGTAATCCAAAACCAAAAACCAAAAGGATAGAATTTAAAATGTTAGAATTTAAAAAGGATACAAAATCTCATAATTTTTTTTTAAGTAATTCGCACCCTGTTACTTTTAAATCTTATTTCATCGGATTTTAAATTATATTTTTATATCCTCTTATATTAAAAAGATAATAGAATATATTATAAATATATTTATATAAAATAAAATTTAAATAATTTTAAGATTAATTATCATTTGAATTATATGTTAAATTAAATTTATATTATTTTTATGGTACACTATTTTTTTAAAAAAAATTAATAAACTCATTGTTTAAAATTATTATTTATTATAAATTTTATTTGAATTATAAAATTATTGGGATGAAAATGAGTCGGGTTCAGCCAGATTTGAGATCCATCCCGAATATATATTATTAGAATCGATATTTAAATTGGATCCGATTATACCGGATCTGACCGAAACTATACCCGGTAAGACCCAATGGATCCGACAAATCCAATTCTTTTCTTACAATTTTTAAATTTTAATTTAAAATTGCACATGTATCGGACCCGCCATATATTAAAATTTATGTATTTTATTAAAAAAAATATTATAATAATAATGAATAAATTAAACTTAAAAATATTTTTAATATAATTATATTGTTAAAAATTATTTTTTTATATATTCGGTTGATATATTAATATTAGAAATCGAGTCCGGGTGTGGGTAGGGTCCGCCTTATACCCTAGACCCGATTAAAATACCACGAACATGACCAAAAACTAGACCCAATACTCAAATAATTAGATTTAACTTCAAATATATAGGTCGGGTCTCGAATTTACGCGAACCTATTGTCATTCCTAAAAAATTATTGATACATTTTCAATTTATATTAATTATAAATTAGAGATTTAATTTATCAAAATAAATAAAATCTATATGGGACAATTATATCATTTATACTACAAAAAATTCAAACTCATATAAAAAACAAACAATATGTGAGAAATATAAATCTCATGTAACTTTATCACCAAAAACATATAATTATTCAAAATCCTAAATATATATTGATCAAGAAATCTCAATGCTAAAAATAAAAAATTCATAAACCAAACCGGCCGAGCATGTTAGAGCATATGCAATGCTTTATGTCTAAAAGAGTTTCAATTTCTTACATGGCTGTTGGTCCCACTTGTATTTGATTTGATTTAAGTCTGACAAAATGAAACAAAATACACAATCATTGTTTCTTTATTCCACGGCTTGAAGAAGGCAAGGGCTGCACCAAGTCTGACATACTAAACTTTCATTTATTCACTTGTTAAACTATAACATTGCATCTATTTTTTAAATTTAGCTTGTAACTTAAAGCCTTGACGCAGAGGAAATGACGTCATTTAAAACACCGGCTTCTGGTAGGGGTGAGCATTTGTATTTTCGGTTCGGATTTCGTCAAATTCAAACCGATCCAAAAATTCAAAATTTTTGAGAAAGGTAATTCGAACGGAACCGAATTAACCGAAATTCAAAATTTGAAAATTTGAAATCCGAATTAAAAAATCCGAAGAAATCCGAAAATTCGAAAAAAAAAATCTAAACTTCAAAATTCTGATGAAAAAATCCGAACCAAACCAAAAAATTCGAAAAAAGAAAAACTTTTTTTTTGAAATAATATTTAAAAAAAAAAACAAAATCATAATGTATAAAATATGACACAAATAAACCTCTTAATGCAATGAACAAACTACGATCATTTATCAACAAAGAAACTAAGCACAAATAATTAAATAAATCTTCTAATGCAACAAACAAATTAAACGCATATTTCAACAAAGAAAGTAAGTACAAATAAGTCTATTGAATTTGTTAATGCAACAAAACACCAAGCAAATTCACTCATTCATAGTCACACTATAATGATTATTCACTTCAAAACTAAATTCAAAACATCATTAACCATTTAATCAATTATTTTCGGATTGAAGAGAAAAAACCTGCGAAATGGACAATAATAATGATGTCAATAAAAAGTTTAATAACCTTGAATAGGAAGATAGATAGATATAAATTGAATTGAACTTAGAAAAGCACGGAAAGTATACATATTGTCGTCTTTTATCACAGTTGTGTCGTAGTTGAAGATGGAAGTAATAAATCTTTCATACCTACATAAAAAATATATATTATTTATATACACAAAGTAAAATAAAAAATTTAAATAATGCATAAAACTTAAATATTAAAATACCTTTTTTCATTTTCTCGACATCTTGAAAAATTTCTTCAATATTGAAAGGAGCAGATTTACGAAGCCAATCTTGAGCACAAACGAGATACTCCACAACTTTAGGACTTAAAGAGCTCCTAAATGGATCAAGTACTTGTCCTCCAATGCTAAATGCCGACTCCGATGCTACGTTTGAGACAGGCACTGCTAGAATATTACGGGCTACTTGGGAAAGTATGAGATATTTATATTTATTATTTTTCCACCAATCTAAAATATCAAATGTCGGTCCTCCATTCTCAATATCTTCTTTAAGAAACTTAAGAAGATCATTACCATCATCTTTATGATGAAAAGTTTCATATATAGATCCCACCTTTCTCAACGCATCTTTTAGTGCATCACCATCATCCATTCCAACATTCGGCAATTCTCTTTCTTCTTGCTCATCAGTTTTTTCCATAAAAATTGGTTGCTTGTAATCACCACACATAGCATACAGCTCATCTTCAACTTCTTTTGCAATTGAGTTAGCCCACTCAACATCATACATACTTGACAATGCAAGTGTCACCCATTTCAACTTGTATCGAGGATCAACAACAACGGCCATGAA